GATTCTTTGTCTTTTAACTCCATGCCTCTTGCCAAGACCCTCACATTCACTTCTCTTGCAACCCCATCTATAAATATATTGAACAACCACGGTGACATCACACATCCTTGTCTAAGGCCTACTTTTACTGGGAAATTATCTCCATCTTTCCTACATACTCTAACTTGAGCCTCACTATCCTTGTAAAATCTCTTCACGCTTTCAGTAACCTACCTCCTACACCATACACCAGCAACATCTCCCACATTACCTCCCTATCCACCCTGTCATACACCTTTTCCAAATCCATAAATGCCACAAAACCCTCTTTAGCCTTATCTAAATACTGTTCACTTATATGTTTCACTGTAAACACTTGGCCTACACACCCCCTACCTTTCCTAAAGCCTCCTTGTTCATCTATCCTACTCCCCGCCTTACTCTTAATTCTTTCAATAACTCTACCATACACTTTACCAGGTATACTCAACAGACTACTACTTCTTTCAATGTACCAGCCGTATCCCACTGAGGTGGGGTGGCCCAAAAGGAAAAACGAAAGTTTCGCCTTTTAAATTTAGTAATATATACAGGAGAAGGGGTTACTAGCCCCTTGCTCCCAGCATTTTAGTCGCCTCTTATGACACGCATGGCTTACGGAGGAAGAATTCTGTTCCACTTCCCCTATCCCCCTATAATTTTTGCACTCTCTCTTTTATCCCCTTTGCCTTTATTCAAAGGAACTATGCATGCTCTCTGCCAATCCCTAGGTACCTTACCCTCTTCCATACATTTATTAAATAATAGCACCAACCACTCCAAAACTATATCCCCACCTGCTTTTAATGTTTCTATCTTTATCCCATCAATCCCAGCTGCCTTACCCACTTTCATTCTACCCACTGTCTCACGAACTTCCCCCACACTCACAAATGACTCTTCATCACTCCTACAAGATGTTATTCCTCCTTGCCCTATACACGAAATCACATTATTATTATAATCAAAAACAAGCGCTAAGCCACAAGGACTATACAGCACACGAAATCACAGCTTCCCTATCTTCATCAACATTTAACAATTCCTCAAAATATTCCCTCCATCTTCCCGATACCTCTAACTCTCCATTTAATAACTCTCCTCTCCTATTTTTAACTGACAAATCCATTTGTTCCCTAGGCTTCCTCAACTTGTTAATCTTACTCCAAAACGTTTTCTTATTTTCAACAAAATTTGTTGATAACATCTCGCCCACTCTCTCATTTGCTCTCTTTTTACATTGCTTCACTACTCTCTTAACCTCTCTTTTTTTCTCCATATACTCTTCCCTCCTTGCATCACTTCTACTTTGTAAAAACTTCTCATATGCTAACTTTTTCTCCTTTACTACAGTACTCTCTTTACATCATCATTCCACCAACTGCTCCTCTTCCTTCTTGCACCCACTTTCCTGTAACCACAAACTTGTGCTGAGCACTCTTAACACTACATTTTTAAACCTACCCCATACATCTTCGACCCCATTGCCCTAGTGTAAATTAATCACATTGACTTTATTGGGTGATCCTAGGTTTTCTACAAAATGTCCATATAACACCATTATAAGAAATTTAGCTTATGTATGAACCCTAAATAAAAAGTACTTATATCTCACTTTGCAAGTAATTGGGAGATAGCAATGTGGTTGCAAGCTGAACCTTCTACCCACTTAGATAGAGGTCTCCTTGCATGTCTAGCTGATGCTGTGGATGGTAATAACTTCTAAGAGTCTGTCGATATTGTTGCAGCTGACATCGATGTGTACTTCTTTCTGAATTACAGTGGACCCCCGCATAACGATTACCTCCGAATGTGACCAATTATGTAAGTGTATTTATGTAAGTGCATTTGTACGTGTATGTTTGGGGGTCTGAAATTGACTAATCTACTTCACAATATTTCTTATGGGAACAAATTCGGTCAGTACTAGCACCTGAACATACTTCTGGAGTGAAAAAATATCGTTAACCGGGGGTCCACTGTATTAAAATGACAGTAGACTGATGGGTGTCAACCTTAGCCTTTACAATTTCATCCCTAAGATATGAAGAAAATTAAATGAAGACAGATATCTTATTAAACAAGTGGGAGACTCTGTTACTGAACATGAGTATTTATTATGTATTATTACAGCGTTAAAAGTAAGAGTTAAACCTGGATTTATCCAATTTGAATTTCCACCACTCCCTGTGTTGAATGGTAATACATAGGTTTAACACTGATTGGGCTCAATGATTGTGCAAATTAGAACATAAGAGTTACATTCCAGTAGCTCACTAGCATTGTTACCAGATTATAAATGTGTAAATACTTCATTACCACTAACTTGCTTAGCTATCAAAATACTGGGGCTCAGTCCTAGGACCCATCCTGTAACTACTGCCCACAAGAGTAGTTACATGTGACCACATCTACCCTTGCTGCATCACTCTACTTCCAATGACTCCACTGCTAGACTGACTGTTATTTTCCATGTAGTAAACTAGGGAAAGTTTCTGTAACTTTACTGCAAAATTTCTGGCCCATCTTGATCTACATTCCATTACTAAGGTTTGCCCTTATGACCACACTGACTCCTGTTGTATCATTCCACTCCTTCCATGTAGTGCACTATCATCATTATCTTAATTTCTACAAGTACATGTACAAGGTATACAGGCCTAGCTGACATCAATGACATACTACTACATAGAAAGCCACTTGTTATGCAGAGCATTTTGGGCAAATTAGGTCAGTTTTGTCCCAGGATGCTACCCACACCAGTTGACTAACACCCAGGTACCCATTTTACTGATGGGTGAACAAGGACAACCAGTGTAAGGAAACATGCCCAATGTTTCTACCCTCGCCGGGAATTGAACTCGGACCCTCACCATGTGAAGCGAGAGCTTTAGCCACCAAGCCGTGGGCCTGGTGGCTTCATTTTTCTGTCTGTGTATTAGATTGATAAAGTCCCTGGTCAGCAAAGCATCTTTCAAAAAAATATTCAGGTGTTGCACCATGTGTCATATTCATCAGCTCAGTTTTGAAGCACTCAGGCTCAATTATGGAGTATTATCACACAACTGTACAGTCTCAAGGTATAAAAGTAATGTCTACATTGAATTCTCCAGTATCATAGTACACAATTCTGTATTCTATCACCTACGTACACTATACTATTTCACACAAATTTTACTTATTAATCTCACCTGTGAGTGGACAGATCTATGGACACAATCGTATAATGACAGATTGTACCACTATACAGTGTAAACTGCACCTTGCAGCCTTGGAACTATTTTGGTATTAACTAATATGATAACAGGAAATGGTAGTCTTTGAATACACTTGTTGCAACTTGCTGTCTGCCGCTTACCTTCCTGCATTTACAGTTATTCTCAAACAAATAATCACTACTGGTCTGACTTACAGTTCTCAACATTTTGATCTGTCAGAACTGTGATTTGTTACTTCAGTTTATGAAAACATTCAATTCAAGTTTATTCTCTATAATGGTTACGATGTGGGGTTTACAGGTTTTGGATATTTTTTGGTTTACATGTTATAAAATACTAATTACAGAGGGGGCCACTAGGACACCTAGCATGGCTAGGCATTTCGAGCAGACTTAGATTAATTCTTAACATTAAATCCTTACAGATTATAATATTAAGGGTAAGTGACTACATCATAATTTGTGAGTTTAGCAATGTGAATGCTTTTGTTTTGGCACAATACAAGGTGTCTATATTTGAGTATCATAGGCAAAGTTATGACTAGTTAGGATTTATTATTTTAAGATTAAGATTAGTATTTCTGGGTTTATAGTCATTTGGTGAGCAATTTTTTGGACCCTATTTTGAAATTGGAATATTTTGAACTTTGCACTAAATTGGCCAAATTACCAATTTCCGATCACTTTATTTTGTAGTTGAAACAGTTGACTTGGTGATTTCTTGTGCTCAATCGATAGAAGTAATACTAATGAAACAGCTAAGAATTTGGTCGACTGGAATAATGTAATTGGCCTAAAATGGGAGTCAAAGTCGGCAAAATCGCCGCTGCGTAAATATCACCGACACAAAAATTTGTGAGAGCAAAATTTCGTCAATTTTCCATCAAATTTCGTACTTTTTGTTTTATTCCCCTCGGAAAAACATTCTCTATCATTTCATAAGAAAAAATAACAAAATTACTTTTTGAAAATTCTTGGACCCTGGTGCACACTTTGAAATTTGGCCTCTGGACCCTGAAAGGGTTAATAAAAGTATCAGAGGGTTAAGAAGGGTTGTTGAGGTGGTTTGGTCATTTAGGGAGAATGGATCAAAGTAGAATGACATGGAGAGCGTATAAATCTGTAGGGGAAGGAAGGCGGGGTAGGGGTCGTCCTCGAAAAGTTTGGAGGGAGGGGGTAAAGGTTTTGTGGGTGGGGGGCTTGGACTTCCATCAAGCATGCACGAGCGTGTTAGATAGGAGTGAATGGAGACGAATGGTATTTGGGACCTGACGAGCTGTTGGAGTGTGAGCAGGGTAATATTTAGTGAAGGGATTCAGGGAAACTGGTTATTTTTATATAGCTGGACTTGAGTACTGGAAATGGGAGGTACAAAGCCTGCACTTGAAAGGAGGGGTTTGAGATATTGGCAGTTTGGAGGGATATGTTGTGTATCTTTATACGTATATGCTTCTAAACTGTTGTGCTCTGGGCACCTCTGCAAAAACAGTAATTATGTATGAGTGAGGTGAAAGTGTTGAATGATGATGAAAGTATTTTCTTTTTGGGGATTTTTTCTTTCTTTTTGGGTCACCCTGCCTCGGTGGGAGATGGCCAACTTGTTAAAAAAATATATATTTTCCATTTCAGAAATAATTTACACGATGCACTGATAGTGTTTTTTGCATATCCCTCGAGAAACTGTAACAGAACTGACAATTATTAAGTATTACCTTCGTGCATTGATAATGGTGGTAACTTTTTCCCACACTGATCACATACTCACATTAATGCTCTTTTGGTTACTAGTAATAAGACTGAATTAGCTGAGTGTAGTATTAGTGGTGTTCCTTAAACACACAACTCCAGAACACAGTTAACTATCGCTCTTGTACACCTTATCAGTTTATCTTATCTTGTGTCGGTGAAAGTAATAGATACTGATTGCTATTTCCTGGATGTTTTTAAAAAAGAAATATTCTTCCTACTGAATAGAAGTATGAAAAGAAAAGAAAAAATGAAAACTTACATTTTTACAGCATTTTAAAATTTAACAAATTTATATTAGTATGACAATAAAAAAAAATCATCCCCAGCTCCTGGACCTCTTCAGAATGTTAGGGCTCTTGGTCCAAGGAATTGGACCTGCTGTTCCCTTCCTTGGACTGAACCAGAATGCCTCCCATTCCCCTTGGCACTATGATCTATGGGTTTAGTGTTCCCTCATAAATATAATAGTAATTTTTAGGGCATTTAGTTGTAGCTCCTGTGTCTCTTGAGGATCTGGATTACATAACTTATATGGGAGGAAGCACTAAACCCATAGGGGCCATACAGTGCTTGGGGAAATAGAAGATAATCATATTTAATCCAAGGAAAAATGTCAGGTGAAATCCCTGCATGACAGAACCCCCACAGAACAGAACCCACCTAGGCAGAAGACAGGAAAGGCAATGAAATTAAAGGTAAGGTAGAGGGGTAAGAAGAGGAGATTAAGTTTAGTTTAGAACATATGACAATATAATGAGAAAGGAAGGCATCAAAAGAGATAAAACCAGAACTAAGATTTATATTAGTTAAGTTGTATTTGGGTAGTAGGTTGGTAGACAGCAACCACCCAGGGAGGTACTACCGTCCTGCCAAGTGAGTGTAAAACGAAGCCTGTGATTGTTTTACATGATGGTAGGATTGCTGATGTCTTTTGTCTGTCTCATAAATATGCAAGATTACAGGCATGTCTTGCTACTTCTACTTACACTTAGGTCACACTACACATACATGTACACATTTATTTATACACACTCATCTGAGTTTTCTTTGATTTTATCTTAATAGTTCTTGGTCTTATTAATTTTCCTTTTATATCCATGGGGAAGTGGAATAAGAATCTTTCCTCCGTAAGCCATGCGTGTTGTAAAAGTCAACTAAAATGCCGGGAACAATGGGCTAGTAACCCCTTTTCCTGTAAAGATTACTAAAAAGAATAAGAAGAAGAAAATTGTCAAAGTGGGAAGTCTGAATGTGCGTGGATGTTGTGCAGATGATAAGAAAGAGATGATTGTGGATGTTATGAATGAGAAGAAGCTGGATGTCCTGGCTTTAAGTGAAACAAAGCTGAAGGGGGTGGGAGAGTTTCAGTGGAGAGGAATAAATGGGATTAGGTCAGGGGTTTCAAATAGAGTTAGAGCTAAAGAAGGAGTAGCAATAATGTTGAAGGATAAGCTATGGCAGGAAAAGAGGGACTATAAATGTATTAATTCAAGGATTATGTGGAGTAAAATAAAGATTGGATGTGAAAAGTGGGTTATAATAAGCGTGTATGCACCTGGAGAAGAGAGAAGTGTAGAGGAGAGAGAGATTTTTTGGGAAATGTTGAGTGAATGGCGTGGGGAGTTTTGATCAAGTGTGAGAGTAATGGTGGTTGGGGATTTCAATGCTAAAGTGGGTAAAAATGTTATGGAAGTAGTAGTAGGTAAATTTGGGGTGCCAGGGGTAAATGTAAATGGGGAGCCTTTAATTGAGCTATGTGTAGAAAGAAATTTGGTAATAAGTAATACATATTTTATGAAAAAGAGGATAAATAAAAATACAAGGGATGATGTAGCACGTAATGAAAGTAGTTTATTAGATTATGTATTGGTGGATAAAAGGTTGATGGGTAGGCTCCAGGATGTACATGTTTATAGAGGGGCAACTGATATATCGGATCATTATTTAGTTGTAGCTACAGTTAGAGTAAGAGGTAGATGGGAAAAGAAGAAGGTGGCAACAACAAGTAAGAGGGAGGTGAAAGTGTATAAACTAAGGGAGGAGGAAGTTTTGGGTGAGATATAAGCGACTATTGGCAGAAAGGTGGCCTAGTGCAAAGATGAGTTAGTGGGGGGTTGAAGAGGGTTGGAATAGTTTTAAAAATGCAGTATTAGAATGTGGGGCAGAAGTTTGTGGTTATAGGAGGGTGGGGGCAGGAGGAAAGAGGAGTGATTGGTGGAATGATGAAGTAAAGGGTGTGATAAAAGAGAAAAAAGGTAGCTTATGAGAGGTTTTTACAAAGCAGAAGTGTTATAAGAAGAGCAGAGTATATGGAGAGTAAAAGAAAGGTAAAGAGAGTGGTGAGAGAGTGCAAAAGGAGAGCAGATGATAGAGTGGGAGGGCACTGTCAAGAAATTTTAATGAAAATAAGAAAAAATTTTGGAGTGAGTTAAACAAGTTAAGAAAGCCTAGGGAAAATATGGATTTGTCAGTTAAAAACAGAGTAGGGGAGTTAGTAGATGGGGAGATGGAGGTATTGGGTAGATGGCGAGAATATTTGAGGAACTTTTAAATGTTAAGGAAGAAACAGAGGCAGTAATTTCATGCACTGGTCAGGGAGGTATACCATCTTTTAGGAGTGAAGAAGAGCAGAATGTAAGTGTGAGGGAGGTACGTGAGGCATTACGTAAAATGAAAGGGGGTAAAGCAGCTGGAACTGATGGGATCATGACAGAAATGTTAAAAGCAGGGGGGGATATAGTGTTGGAGTGGTTGGTACTTTGTTTAATAAAATGTTGAAAGAGGGGAAGGTACCTAGGGATTGGCAGAGAGCATGTATAGTCCCTTTATATAAAGGGAAAGGGGACAAAAGAGACTGTAAAAATTATAGAGGAATAAGCTTACTGAGTATACCAGGAAAAGTGTACGGTAGGGTTATAATTGAAAGAATTAGAGGTAAGACAGAATGTAGGATTGTGGAGGAGCAAGGAGGTTTTAGAGTGGGTAGGGGATGTGTAGATCGTGTTTACATTGAAGCATATATGTGAACAGTTATTTAGATAAAGATAGGGAAGTTTTTATTGCATTTATGGATTTAGAAAGGCAATGATAGAGTGGATAGAGGAGCAATGTGGCAGATGTTGCAAGTATATGGAATAGGTGGTAAGTTATTAAATGCTGTTAAAGAGTTTTTATTGAGGATAGTGAGGCTCAGGTTAGGGTGTGTAGAAGAGAGGGAGACTACTTCCCGGTAAAAGTAGGTCTAGACAGGGATGTGTAATGTCACCATGGTTGTTTAATATATTATAGATGGGGTTGTAAAGGAAGTAAATGCTAGGTGTTTGGGAGAGGGGTGGGATTAAATTATGGGGAATCAAATTTCAAAAGGGGTAATTGACACAGTTACTTTTTGCTGATGATACTGTGCTTTGGGAGATTCTAAAGAAAAATTGCAAAGGTTAGTGGATGAGTTTGGGAATGTGTGTAAAGGTAGAAAGTTGAAAGTGAACATAGAAAAGAGTAAGGTGATGAGGGTTGTCAAATGATTTAGATAAAGAAAAATTGGATATCAAATTGGGGAGGGTGTGCAAAAGAAGAAAATTAAAGGTGAATACAGGAAAGAGTAAGGTTATGAGGATAACAAAGAGATTAGGTGATGAAGATTGAATATCAGATTGGAGGGAGAGAGTATGGAGGAGGTGAACGTATTCAGATATTTGGGAGTGGACCGTGTCAGCAGATGGGTCTATGAAAGATGAGGTGAATCATAGAATTGATGAGGGAAAAAAGGTGAGTGGTGCACTAGGAGTCTGTGGAGACAAAGAACTTTGTCCTTGGAGGCAAAGAGGGGAATGTATGAGAGTATATTTTACCAACGCTCTTATATGGTGTGATGAAGCGTGGGTGATGAATGTTTGCAAGCGAGGAGAAGGCTGGAGGCAGTGGAGATGTCATGTCTGAGGGCAATGTGTGGTGTGAATATAATGCAGAGAATTCGTAGTTTGGAAGTTAGGAGGAGGTGCGGGATTACCAAAACTGTTGTCCAGAGGCCTGAGGAAGGGTTGTTGAGGTGGTTCGGACATGTAGAGAGAATGGAGCGAAACAGAATGACTTCAAGAGTGTATCAGTCTGTAGTGGAAGGAAGGCGGGGTAGGGGTCGGCCTAGGAAGGGTTGGAGGGAGGGGGTAAAGAGGTTTTGTGTGCGAGGGGCTTGGACTTCCAGCAGGCATGCGTGAGCGTGTTTGATAGGAGTGAATGGAGACAAATGGTTTTTAATACTGACGTGCTGTTGGGAGTGTGAGCAAAGTAACATTTTTTGAAGGGGTTCAGGGAAACCGGCAGGCCGGACTTGAGTCCTGGAGATGGGGAAATACAGTGCCTGCACTCTGAAGGGGGGGTGTTAATGTTGCAGTTTAAAAACTGTAGTGTTTTAAAACACCCTTCTGGCAAGACAGTGATGGAGTGAAATGATGGTGAAAGTTTTTCTTTTTCGGGCCACCCTGCCTTGGTGGGAATCGGCCGGTGTGATAATAAAAAAAAAATAAAATGAGTATGGAAGAAGTGAATGTTTTCAGATACTTGGGAGTTGACGTGTCGGCGGATGGATTTATGAAGGATGAGGTAATCATAGAATTGATGAGGGAAAAAAGGTGATTTGGGGCGTTGAGGTATATGTGGAGTCAAAAAACGTTATCTCTGGAGGCAAAAGGGAATGTATGAAAGTATAGTAGTACCAACACTCTTATATGGGTGTGAAGCTTGGGTGGTAAATGCAGCAGCGAGGAGATGGTTGAGGCAGTGGAGATTCTGTTTAAGGGCATGTGTGGTGTAAATATTATGCAGAAAATTCGGAGGGGTGGAAATTAGGAGAAGGTGTGGAGTTAATAAAAGTATTAGTCAGAGGGCAGAAGAGGGGTTGTTGAGGTGGTTTGGTCATTTAGAGAGAATGGATCAAAGTAGAATGACATGGAAAGCATATAAATCTATAGGGGAAGGAAGGCGGGTAGGGGTCGTCCTCGAAAGGGTTGGAGAGAGGGGGTAAAGGAGGTTTTTGGGTAAGGGGCTTGGACTTCCAGCAAGCGTGCGTGAGCGTGTTAGATAGGAGTGAATGGAGACGAATGGTACTTGGGACTGACGATCTGTTGGAGTGTGAGCAGGGTAATATTTAGTGAAGGGATTCAGGGAAACCGGTTATTTTCATATAGTCGGACTTGAGTCCTGGAAATGGGAAGTACAATGCCTGCACTTTAAAGGAGGGGTTTGGGATATTGGCAGTTTGGAGGGGTATGTTGTGTATCTTTATATGTGTATGCTTCTAGACTGTTGTATTCTGAGCACCTCTGCAAAAACAGTGATAATGTGCGAGTGTGGTGAAAGTGTTGAATGATGATGAAAGTATTTTCTTTTTGGGGATTTTCTTTCTTTTTTTGGGTCACCCTGCCTCGGTGGGAGACGGCCGACTTGTTGAAAAAAAAAAAAAAAAAAAAAAGTTGTATATTTAGGTAGTAGGTTGGTAAACAGCAACCACCCAGGGGGGTACTACCGTCCTGCCAAGTGAGTGTAAAACGAAAGCCTGTAATTGTTTTACATGATGGTAGGATTGCTGGTGTCCATTTTTCTGTCTCATAAACATGCAAGGTTTCAGGTACGTCTTGCTACTTCTACTTACACTTAGGTCACACTACACACACATGTACAAGCATATATATACACACCCCTCTGGGTTTTCTTCTGTTTTCTTACTAGTTCTTGCTCTTGTTTATTTTCTCTTACCTCCATGGGGAAGTGGAACAGAATTCTTCCTCCGTAAGCCATGCGTGTTGTAGGAGGCGACTAAAATGCCGGGAGCAAGTGGCTAGTAACCTCTTTCCTGTATATATTACTAAATGTAAAAGGAGAAACTTTTGTTTTTCCTTTTGGGCCACCCCGCCTCGGTGGGATACGGCCGGTGTGTTGAAAGAAAGAAAGAAGTTGTATATAAGGATGCTTCAGCAAGACAGCATCTATGAAGACCCCCTCTCAATATATTCTGGGTCCCTCCCTTCTCACCTCTCTGTGTGACAAGCGAATGGTCTTTGTCGGACCGAAACATTGTCACAAGTTTGTCTCTTACGTGTGGGTTATTTGTGTATTTTTCCAGTCATGGTATTGTGCTTATTCTTTGTTTCCTACATACCCTGACCTGAGCTTATCCACATAAAAGTTCTTTACTTTTAATAACCTACCACCTATTCCATGCATTTGCAACATCTGCCAAATTGCTCTCTTATCCACCCTATCAAATGCATTTTTAAGGGTTTGACTCAAGGAAGGGGATAGCATCAAATTTCTTGGTTCAAGAGCCCTTCAGCAGCATCAGTGTACCCTCTTGATGGGGACATATTACAGTGAGGCATGATTAATGTTTTGCCTTTTCATTAACTGCTGATCTTTGAAGTCAGTTAGCAACCAAGGTCAGGTGTGAGATTTTGACTCTGCTGGGGCTCTAGTGATGGTTCCCTCTGACCTAAGAAAATTTGTTCCTTTTTTATTTAAAGATGCTTATCCCATTTTCCTTTACTGCCCTGATTTGTCACTTTTCCTTCTCAAAAACCAGGAGGCAGAGCTCTATATGGTGCAAGCTGCAAGTGATAATTAAACCACTAACACCAACTTGACAGCCCCTTCTTACAACACAATTTATACACGTTCAGATTTAACGTTTCCTGTTTTCCAGACATCGTGGTGTATTTTACTTATTTGTGGTTGGTATCTGTTCTATAGGTTTATGTTGCCTAACCAAAATTAACTTTACCTAACATATTTTTAGGCGTTAATTCAGGTTGAGGCCTATTTTCACCTGAAAGGTCGACCATGTCAGTGGGCTGACATAGACCATTATGGGAATATGTATTATGAAATTGCGTCTTATTTTCTCCAGCTTTAATTTTTTCTACTTTTTTGGCGTTTTAGGCATTATTTTTAATAAAACATGACATTCTTTTTATTACAAACAAATGACCCCTCATGGGAGGTTCCTTGACACTGGTGGGGGGCTCTTGATCTAGGGAATTAGATCTGTGCTCTGGCTCCCTGAATTGAGCTTGAATACCTTCCATCCCCCACACATGCGCTGTATAATCCTACAGGTTTAGCCCCCCCCATAATTATAATAATAATAAACAAATGAGTCTGGACAACAAAAATAAAACAGGTAAGCAGCAGCAAATAAAACTTGCAACTCTGGCACAAGTTACGGTACTGACATGATAGCATCAGTATGTTAGTGTTGTCACTTCCTTCTTCAGTAATGTGCTGTAGCCTTATTTACCTCTGCTATGTATCAACAACTTTTATACTTGGCTTAAACAGTTGTTGATTTATATGCTGACATATATGGCATGTTAATCACTAATGTGACATCAAGCATCCATCAAAATCTTTTTGCTGGGAAATAATTTTCCACCTTCCTACGTACCTTAACCTAAGAATCTCTCTCACTGCATAAAAACTCCTAAACTGCTTTTGCACCAAGATATGTTTGATAAGGTTTGTCAGGAAACAGGACAATTTCCTGATGCAGGTCTTAGTCATATGATGACCCACAGCTGGATCTTTTGGTCATCTGACTGAGGCCTGCTGACTTACAGGTCCACCCCTTTAAAAATTATGGTCATTTGCAACAGTTGCCACATGACTCCCCTAATGTATAATAAAACTGATTTTAGTGTGGGTTCATCTGATGATACCAAGGTGTGTAAAAGTCTATACAGTGGAACCTCAAATTTCGAACTTAATCCATTCCAGGAGCTAGTTCTAAATTCGAAAAGTCTGAAAAGCGAAGCAATATTTCCCATAAGAAATAATGGAAATACAATTAATCCGTTCCAGAAACCCAAAAATATTCACAAAAAAAACAAAATCATTTTATAGAGATTAATTATAGTTTTACATACACAACAAATATAGTGTACAATTATGTATTAATAAATTGAAATAAACATATAAAATAACATTTTTACTTACCTTTATTGAAGATTGGTGATGGCATCTGGAAGATAGTGGGGGAGGAGGAGAGGGAATTGGGTTAAGAGTTTGGAAAGGATATCCCCCTCTATAAAGACTTTAGGTATCAAAGCCCTCTCTGGGGTTACTTCCCTTCTCTGTCTTTTAATGCCACTAGGACCAGCTTGAGAGTCACTGGACTCCTGTCTCACAAAATAACTGTCCACAGTCCTCTGTTGCTGGCACCTCTAAGATTTCCCTAAAATGGGACATGGTTTTGTCACTGAACTTGTTGCAAAGATGGCTTGTTTCAGCTTGCTCAGGGTGGTACTTCTCCGCAAACATTTGGACATCATTCCACTTGGCGCAAATCTCCTTAATCTTTGAAGGCGGACAGGTCCAGTACCCGGCGATTTGAAAACAGGGGCTAGTTCAATAATAGGGACAAAGTTGGTTTGAAAAAGCAGTCGATTTTCGAAAAGCTTGATAAGTGATATGTTCGAAATTTGAGGTTCCATTGTATTTGTTTAACCCTTTCAGGGTCCAAGGCCCAAATCTGGAGTCACGCACCAGCGTCCAAGAATTTTCAAAAAAAAAAAATTGTTATTTTTTCTTATGAAATCGTAGAGAATCTTTTTGTGAAGGTAATAAAACAAAAAGTACGAAATTTGGTGGAAAATTGACGAAATTATGCTCTCGCGAATTTTGATGTGTCAGCGATATTTACGAATCGGCGATTTTGCCGACTTTGACTCCCATTTTAGGCCAATTACATTATTCCAATCAACCAAATTCTTAGCTATTTCACTAGTATTACTTCTATTCTATCGATTGAGCACAAGAAATCGCCCAAATCAACTGTTTCAACTACAAAATAAAGTGATCGGAAATTGTTAATTTGGCCAATTTAACACAAAGTTCAAATATTCCAATTTCAAAATAGGGTCCAGAATGAACAATGTAGGCATTCCTGGCACTTAAACTAACATTTCCTCTGTTCATTAGTTTTGTTTTGAGGCTTTACAAATAAATTCCATTTTGATTTTTATTCGATAATGAATTTTTTTTCACACCAAAAAATAGAAGATTTACTGTTATGCAATACTGTAATAATTGTATAAATATCATCACCATATTTGTGAAATGTATATTAGCCCACCAGCTGGTGTGTTTAGACGTGTGAGGTCGTTTGTTTACTCCTGAATATCGGCAAAAATTTAACATTTCTGCTACTTTGAGCTAAGTTTCAAGCCATTTCCAGTGCTAAAACCAATCAAAATCATCTCTATTTCTGTAATATGTCTTCCATTCTATCAAATGAGACCAAGAAATTGCAAATACAACTATAAAAACATACGAAAAAACACTGCAAAGTTGCTGTTTTAATCGAAAAATCATGATTTCATTTTTTTTCTCTTATTATACACAGTGTGCTGCAAGATCTGTTTTATGTGGTGCACACATACCACATAGATGTATTCTCTCATATCTAGGCCCAAATGTACCACTCACAGTTTATCAGAGTGAGCTGAGCTCATGGCGTAGATCTACGGTTTGGACCCTGAACGTAAAGCCGTAGATCTACGGGACGGACCCTGAAAGGGTTAATGAATTTCGGTTATTAATGCCAATATTGTTTCTCTAGGTCTTATCTAACACACGATTCACGTGCTGTACATATACACAATCAAAAAAAGGATAAGACAACAGAAATGCTATTTTTCTTTGATATGTGCTTTCATTTTTTATCACTAAAATTTTTCTTTAAAAACTCCTCAAGCTTTTCATACATGTTACTTTAAGACAAATCAAAACTTCAGACATTCTTCTCCACTGGTTGAGATAAACTTTCTGTGTTCCACTGTAATACAAGATTATGAATGCCAAGTAAAATTCTTCATAGGAAAATCATATCCACATGCTCTATAAACCAGTCTATAGGCAGAAAGTGCTTACAATACAAGGTGCTAACAACCATATGTCTGCATTTTATACACAGGAATTTTCCTGTGGGAATATAGTAACAGTATTAGTGCATGCCAAATAAGTGCCCAAGAGGAAAATTATTCAATGTACAAATAATGGTTTACATCTTTATTAAATGATACGTATGTATGTACTATAACAAATGCTCCCCTATGAGAAAACCAGGAAAAATACTACAAATTTAGTTTTCTTTTTTCCCTTTATCTACCTGTATTCTTGTTTTTTCATATTTATGCACACCAATGGAGTGTCTGGAGAGCAAGACAAAACTCAGGTATCTGCAGAGCTGTGCCTTGTTTAATAAACTAGCAGATTCTTCCAGCCCTGTATCAAAACCACTATTGTGATTCAGACCCCTATGTAATATTTTAATCCTAACCGTATAAATAAATGAGCATATCTTGTACAGGCCTTATATTAAGAGCAAACATCCATGGTCAACATTTTTGTAATCACAAAGTAAAAATCACTTATTGTGTAACAATTCCTCTCTGGTTCAATCATTTGTTAATGACAGAAGCAGGTCAACAATGGCATAACCAGAAATAATGGAATGGAGAGAAGAAAAATCAGTAAGATAAAAACCAATAATCCAGAGGGGAGCATGAAGAGAAAGATGGTGGTAATAGGGAGGGAGCAGCCTGGCAACATAACTGGTGTGATGATGAAGGAGCAGTGCATTGCTGCCCATATCATACACATTGCAGACATGCAAAACAACTAACAATGGTTTTGTGGTGTTTAAAATTAATGATATATAACCTCCTTTCTTCCCAATGCTATTCTCTTTAAAGTGTCATAAATCTTATATTAAATATTATACTATACACAAAACTAAATTGATCTCAATGTATAATAGAAACAATTAGATTGTAACATCAACCAGTCATCTCAATGCACTGCTCCCTAACTTTACACTTATTTATTATTCTTTGTATATAAAAAATGGAGAGGGGCTGCTCCATGACTCCATAAAGGATATCCCTTCCACTCTCCTGGGGATGAACCAACACAGAGAAGATACACGAGAAAAAATTGGGTGGGCCTTCTCTGCCTTTTACAAACCACTACTACACAAATCACAATAGAAAAAAGACATGAAGATCTATGGCTAAATACTAGATATGCCACCATATTGTGCTGTGGATAGTTCACTCCTATGCAAAACCATAGGAAAGTTTTATACTCACTTTAAAAAGGCATCTCCAGTTAAAATAATGAAGGGCTCTTTTACACTTGTAAATTATGATAATTTACAAAGGTACTACCCATAAGGTTATCAATTTCTTTTAAGTTGGTAACAATTAGCTTGACAAGCAAGGCCAGATTTCTTAAGATATGTGAACTGTAATTGCCTTTGATAACTTAAGTTGCTCAGAACTCAAGTTAAAAGACTACTAGAATTCACTTCATCCTAAATCTTGTTTTTCCCTACTTGCACTGATACACCCTAAATGCAACTCATTACCAATACTATTTTTTCCTTACTCCTCAGTAACTAGAGTCAAATCAATATTGGTGGCATGTGGATAAGATATAGAAGTTGCAACGACAACAACCTAGCTCTGCAACCAATCATTGTTAAAATTTTAGTGACCCACGGCATGCACATTTGTGGAGCATTCTTCAATAGCTTGTACACAACTGCACTGTGACTTATCACAATATTAAAATTAAATGTGGACTGTATCACCTGCTAATAAAAAAAAAAATACTATAAAAAGATTATCAACCTACAGAAAACGCCATGCAAAAAAGTACTAAGAAAATCTTCTACCAAAATCTTACCATTTTCATTAGTTTTGATATGGCCTAACATGTGAATATGTTATTTGCATGTTTAAACCAAGGTAGAATATCACAGCTTACAACCATGTGCCACAATCAGCAAACACTTGACTGTACAAAATCTACACCAATCTTAATCATAAAATATTTGTAAATTCATGAGCTTATCTGGATTCAGCAGCCCTAATACTGATACGTTTTATAATAACAATGATGAATTTGTAGACTATAAAATGAGGAGACAAACCTGAATTGTTTTCAAATAAATATTTCATGATGAAATGTAACTTATCTCGAGTCTGAATGTAATCATACATTCTCTTTATTCATTGCATATATGAGAGTATTACATATATTACTATATAATGGGATTAAAAAAGAGGTATCCCTCTTCATGTATTTTTGCCACTCACTATATAAGTGAATAAGTGACATGCACTAAAGCTTTAAACACATCCCACATTACTGCTGTACCACAAGACCATCTTTTCCAACTCAAATAACAACCTACTAGACTCTACGGAACTTGAGAATAGTATGGACTGACTGTAATGCAGCCAAAAACAATAATCTGAAGCAAATTATGAATAGCTATACAAATACCTTATTATCAATGGATAGGCAGATCAGGATTTATATGAATTATATTTTTTGTAGGAGTAACCTCATTTATTTTCAAAAGCTGTTCGAATGTACAATGGTGGCACAGATATTACCTGGCTAAGAGTCTAGTTTTGATCCCTCATTTTAAAACTGTGAAAACTAGAGACTTCAGAAAATCAGAACTATAGGAAAATATAAAATAAACAGATGATGAATGTAGTACCAGAAAAAGAATAAAAAGATTCCTTAACTGTGTTACCATGAAATAAAACTAACAATGACAACTATTCCTTAGCCAAAGTATTCCTCTGCCACCAAGCTTGTTATAAAAATTATAAAAACCCTACATAAGCTTCATACAAATTTCAGTTTGCTAATCTATTAAATTTTTCTAACATATTAGAGCCAATATTTGAAATTAAAATTATCCCAAGTCTGCTTCAATATGCAGCCCTATTATTTTTTAAGTCATAATGCATGAAAATACAGGAAAGGAGGTGGGGGATTCATTGTTCCAGCAAACTTATACCCACTGAAGGCCAAATATGCAACTCTAAAGTAAGACTTTCTTTAGCTCTTAGTGAAAAATGACTAACTATTCATAAATGCTTAGTCCATTTACATTATGAATGAGATAGTTAAACTATACAGTATGAGAAAATACAGATGTAGAGATGAATTGCTCTTAGACCAATAACTAATCAACACTCAGAGATTAACAAGTACACCAGCTAGTAGTCAATCGCTGGACATTGTTGATGGTCAAGTCAACCCAGTGATCAATTCCTTACTTTCAAAACCTTCCAACTGTAATTGAAGCAAAGCCCCCACATTTGTAAAGAGTAAGAAGAACAAAGCAAGCCACAGATATGATTCTCTCTTAGACAAAGATAATAGTTTGTGGTTAGTTGCAACTATAATGGGCCAAACAGTAACTACTATAGTAGGTCTGATGTATTTGAGATGAGAAAGGCCAATATGAGCACTGGGCTGCCATTCAGCATGACTGATTTCCTAATGTTGGAAAAATGTCATATTGAAGCAGTATTTAAAGCTCATCACTGGTAATCTTATCTATATTTTATAAGAGGTTACTAGACTGGTCTTAAGAGGTGTTATCACAAAGAATAATCAGTCTTCTGCAGACATATAAAGACTCTAGAATGGGAAAACTTACTAAAGACTGAAAGTTGCTTGTGAAAACACAAGTACACAGATGAATATGACAAACTAAATACTCACAGTATATCTGGTAAGTTTATGATTAAAAAAAAAAATGATGATTAATTTTAAAACAAAAACTAAATTATATATAGGTGGAGTCAAGTATGAATGAATGAAAGAGTTAAGAGAAAGTGATTCTTCAATGTTCAAATTAAAAGAAATGATGAAACTTTTCCATGTGTTTTGGATGATGTTTTCTATATCTACAAAATTAACAAATGGTATATAACAATAACAAAACAAGTTTCAATACTCTACACAAGGAAAAGTATAACAGTGTTGTTCTCTTAGGCAAGGGGCCAGTGTCTTACCTTTGAGATGATCAATAATTTCTATGCCTATTATTGGAGTCACAATATAAGAGGACCTATAGTTCAAATTTGCTTGAAGTCAGCTATAAAGTTACTAGTCCTAAGACAAAACTGATAAACCTTTTATCAGCCATATTAGTAATTTATCTTATGTAGGCATACTGAATAAGTAAGAACAGCATAACATCATGAAATATTGGTCACTGTAAAACAGCTGAATATACAATTGGGGATATGTAACAAATCCCGAATGAAATACGTATCTTCAAGTATATTATCAGAAACTTATCCATCAGATGTTGTACTGGCCCTGGATTTGTCATCAGCTTATTAAAAGCAAATGCAGTCTCAATATTTATGCATTCTTCAGCAGGGATCCAGCCCTTTCATTGGCCATGTTTACTCTCGCAGTGTTGGAGCCCGCCTGAAATTGATCAAAATTTGTAAATACTATGCTAGTGATTGCTCAAAAATTGTCAATAAATTTTATAATCATTCATTACACTACTGGCAAACTTGATAGCCATTCTTGAACTTTAAAAAAAAAATCACATTTAGTCCATAAAATTACACTTAGACATACTGCACAGGTATAAACTGAAAAAACTCAAGCATATTATGAAAAAAAAAAAAAAAAAAAGTTTACAAAAGCTGGGATACATCTTTTTAATTCCTGCAACCATTTCTAATCCAAGTTGAGTTACTCAAAGAAAATACCCTCACTACCAATTGCTCCAGTTGCCTTTCTAGAAGGTACAAACCATCATAGTCCAATGCTGACCCACCAAACTGAAACCATTTCTACCAGACTTTCAAAAAGCAAACACTATATTGCAGCTCCCTCTCTCTCCCCCCCCCCCAAAAAAAAAAAAAAAAATAGGTAGCTGCTTTACCTGAATCCTTCACAGATATTACCATGCTTGCACTCTAGCATTATGTAAAATCCCAAACACCACTTGCCACAATTCTCTGATTATACTTTATATACAATACTTACTGGATGTTCCAGCTTCTATCTCTGAACCTTTCACCTCAAATCTTTCAGCCTCTATGTTACATATTCATACAAAAATTTTCTTTTCTGCATTAATTTCCAGCTTCCCTCTTTTATACACACCATTCCAAACATATTTATAAATTTCTGCAGCTTCTCCAATTTGTGTCATTTGCAAACTGAAACTGTGATTTCAATTTCATATCAGATTCACTGTCCTTTAAAAATACACCTATTCCAAATATTCTAGAATTCATTTCTCTTACAGCTTTATCTATATTTTATTGTGATCAATGGGAAGTACTAAACCTGTAGGGGTCATACAGTTCATGGAGAATGAGGTATTCAGGTTCAATCCAAGGAAATGGAAGATAAATACAGTTCCTTGGATGAAGAGCCCCTGATTGTGTACAAATACATTAAACAAGTATGGTGATTACACCTTGTTTGTGATATTACACCACCTTGGTGATATTACACCTTGTTGGCGATATTACGCATCCTTATTGGTGATATTACACCTTGTTGGCGATATTACGCATCCTTATTGGTGATATTACACCTCATTGTTGGTGATACTGCACCTTCTTGTTGGTGATATTACACCACCTTGTTGGTGATATTACACCTCCTTGTTGGTGATATTACACCTCCTTGTTGGTGATATTACACCTCCTTGTTGGTGATATTACACCGCCTTGTTGGTGATATTACACCTCCTTGTTGGTGATATTACACCTCCTTGTTGGTGATATTACACCTCCTTGTTGGTGATATTACACCTCCTTGTTGGTGATATTACACCTCCTTGTTGGTGATATTACACCTCCTTGTTGGTGATATTACACCTCCTTGTTGGTGATATTACACATCATTGTCAAAAACAAACTGTTATTGTAAATAATTCTCAACATTACCACAGACCCTAACCTGTCTCACTCTCCTTATACATACTCCTTACATCTTTCAATAACTTACTACCTATTCCATACATTTGCAACACATGCATCACATCCTGATCCACAAAGTCACAGGCCTTTTTCAAATCTATAAATCCAACAGTTATTCTTACCACATCTAAATTCTGCCCATTTGTATGTTTCAGTGTGTACATTTGAGCTACACATCCCCCTTCCTCTTTCAATTCCAGTCTGTTTTTTTGCAATCATACTTTGTATTCTATACCTGGAGAGGGTTTTGGGGGTCAATGCCCCTGCAGCCCAGTCTGTGACCAGTAATTATATCATTCACTGTTTCAGGTATACCTCTCAGACATATTTCCCTGTAATTTTTACAATTTCTTGTCCCCTTATAGTCCCACAGAGGAGCCACACAGCTAGCTGTAAACCTTTTGCTACTTTCCCTTTTATACACACACTCGATAAATGCATCAGCTGTATTCAACTTTAACCCCCATTTGCTTTAGGCATTTTTGTCTTAATCCCATCCATTCTTAGCCTCACTAGCCTTCTTACTTACTTTTGAACTTTTCATTCATTCTCTTAGATTTCCTCTTCCTTTATTCCAAGCATATTTCTCCCTCCACTCCATAATCTACATAAAAAAAAAAATCTCATCTAACATTTCCACTTCTTTATTCAGCACTTCCCCACTTTCACTATTAACAGCAAAATCCTTTTGCTACCTTGTTTTCTTATCTTATTTAGCCCTATCCAAAATTATGTTCCGAGTCTCGGCATAAATTTGTTGGCAATGCCTCGTATATATTTTCATTTTTTCCTTCAATACGGAAACTCTCCTTTACCACTACTTTCAATTAATCATTCCACAAATCACTTACAATTCCTTTTTCACCTACCATCCTATAACCTCTGCTGCCAATATTAACACAGCCTTATTAAGTATACACCACACCTTTTTTTTTTTTGACATCCTCCTTAACTCTTTCACACTAGCCAATCTTTCTTGAAACATGGCTGAGGTGAAAATGGTGGCGGCACAGAGAGAGAGAGGTGGAGGCATTGAGGAGAGAACATCAGCAGAAAGAAAGCATGATGTAGCAAATCAAAGGCAGTCAAGAAATTATAGTCTGCATTAAGAGCAGGACCGTCGGAGAGGACTTTTGTTTTATAAGAGCAGCAGCAATGGAGTCAGCATTAGTGGCAGTGGTAACGGTGGCAGTGTCAGCATTAGCGGCGGCGGTGTCAGCATTAGCGGTGGCGGCACAAGGCATAATCCATTTGTCACAACCCAAACTAAGTCACAGGCCACAAGCCACAGCAAATTTTGACAAATGGGAAAATGATTCCCTATCATTTAGGCTAAAAGAGGGAGGGGAGGGGAGGGGAGGGGTAGTTGAGGGGGGATATTTAGGTTTAATTTGAGGGGTTAGCTTCTTTAGGTCAAGAGCCCTTCATCATGGCAAGAAACCCAATTTAAGGTTGCTCATTCCTTTAAAGTTCTTTTTCTTTAATTTATTCCTACTCACTTGCCTTTTACCTTCTGACAGCATTCTGCTTATATTCCAGCCTTTTACTTGATCACACTAAAACATGCACTATCAACCTACTATCTACAACCATTTCATACCTCATATACCTATCCATCATTTTTATCCTTGAATCAAATACAACAATTCCTCACTTCATGCGAGTCTGCTAAAAGTGAATTACTTGTTAAGTGAGGACTCCATTTCTACCAGTAATCTCTATGTGCAATATAAGTTCACTCTCACACTATCAGTGAATTCACCAAACATAATAAAGATTCCTGTAATTTAGAACTAAGTGTTGATGACTTCTGATGGGATACTTTTACATATTATTAAACCTTCCTTAAATCTTTCTCATCCTCCTAAACAAAAATATTTCTTCGGTGACTCGAGACCGTTAGTAATGTAACTGCGACTAAAATGTAAATGTTGGTTTCATGGTTTCTATGCTTCCTCAAGCTTCTCTGTGGTTCCCTCTTTTGTCTTCATGCCTCAGAATCATCATAATCAGTGGGAAATGCAAAACATGTACAGGTCATACAGCACCTGGAGAATAAGAGGTAATGAAGTTTGATCCAAAGATAGAGAGGATAGCTCCAATTCCTTGGATCAATAACATTCATCAGCATCATGGTATCTCTCTTAAAGGATGCTTGCTCTTATGTGTTATTTCATTTATATTTGTTAATGTATGCTGTAATTTATTATATATGACAAACTAATCTATCCCCAATAGCATACATAGAGAAACTGGTTTAAATGTTCAATGTAAAAAAACAAAAAACTTTTACATATTCACAATGTTGTTTGTTTTAACTTTCTCTTATTTCTCCTCCTGTGGTACTTATAAATATCAAATTCCATTCCCCATTACATTCCACCTGTTGAAGTGCTAAGTTTTTTCAAGGTGGACAGTCTTCTTTATTACATATTTTGCATTATCTGCAAACATGTCCACATGCTTTGTCAGAAGGAGAAACTAAGTAATTTAGAAACTTTACTGAAGCCACTACTGATCCTTGTGGAACTCTGCAAGGCCAATATTTTCAAGGATTAGCTTTTATCTGTTTTAAATAGTGACATGTAGTCTGTTATTTTCCATTTTGTAATTACTTTACTTACATGCAATGACATCCTGTTTCTTGTAATGATATAGTGCTTAACCAGTTTCCCTGAATTTCCTCATAAATGTTATTCAGCCCACACTCCAAGAGCATGTCACATCATAAAACCACTTGCCCGCACACATTCCTATCTAACAGGTCACACTACCTTGTTGGATGTCTAAGCTACTAACACTCAAAACCATTATTATTATTTACAGAACGAAATGTAAGGGAAGCATTATGAAGCGGAAAGTGCACTACAATATGGGCAAAAGAGTAAGTTGTGTAATAAGTCAATTTCATCCAAGAAACCTGAGAATTCAGTAATGTATAATTTGCCTAGCTTCTGACAGCTATGTTATATTCAGCAGTGTGTAGTGCAGGAAAAATGCACTACTGTATGTTACTTTGCTATGAACTAGATAATAAAAGCTTCCGAGTCTAGAATGAGAAAATTCCACAGTTGTAGTATCCTATATTTAAATAACTGTTGTGTTATAATTTTTTAACTTATCTTCTCTGCTGTGTCCTGGGTAACTAACAAAAACTGGAAAATAGGGATCTACATTCCAGTCATACCTTGTCTTGTATATTTCTTTGGTTGCAGCTGTCACTTGTCCACAGGCTGAGAGAATCCCTCTTCTATTTGTCCTGATTCATATGCATCTCGATACTCTTTATAAGAGGAGGATTGCCGTCTCCCTATCAACACTAATGGGAGTGGTGGCAGCATCATTAGCCTGCACCATATCCTTGTAGAAGTAGCAAACTTAAAATTCATAATTTAACACCTCACATCTTCACAAGAGATTATTGGGGTGTAATTTTGTGTCCCCACAACATGTTCAGTCAAGAATGTTGTTGACTGAACG